AGGCCAGTGGCGTCTTGGCCTGTACCAAACATAGTGAGTCAAGCAGAACTAAGGAAGTGATTGTGCTGCTGTAGGGAAATGATTTTGCTGCTGTACTTGGCACTGGCGAGGCTGCACTTGGAGTACTGTGTTAGTTTTGGGCCCCTCGCTTCAAAAACGACATTGAGGTCATAGGTGTTGGAGCATGTCCAGAGAAAGGCAGCAGTGCTGATGATGGTTCTGGAGCACAAGTCTGATGAGGAGGGAATTGGGGGTGTTTAGTCTGGAGAAAAGAAGGCTCGGGGGGAACCGCACTGCTCTCTACAACTACTGTAAAGGAGATTGTAGTGACGTGGGGGTCAATCTCTTCTGCCACATTTCAAATAAAAGGACCAGAGGAAATGGCCTTATGTTGCACCATGTTGATGCAGATTGGACATTAGAAAGAAACATTTCACTAAAGAGTGGTTAGGCAATGGAATAAGTTGCCCAGGGAGTTGCTCTGGAGTGTTCAAGAGCCATATGGAGGTGGCACTTGGGGATATGGTTAAGAGGTGATTATGGTGGTACTGGGTTGATAGTTGGACTAGGTGGTCCTGGAGGTCTCTTCCAACCTTCATGATTCTGTGATCTCAGCTGGACCCAGCACACTGTTATTACTATTGTACAATACACAGTAAAGTTTAAAATTATCCATAACTCATGTGAGCCATGGCCTCTGCCATGAGACCTGCACCAGTACAAGACTGAAATCTGGCCATACATAGCTACAGTGCTATCTAGCATCAGACTTTGGTTCGTCTTAGGGGCATTAAGTTTTATTATGCTACAAAGAACAACAATAGAGTGTGTAAACTAACCTGGTAATTACAGAAAAAAATTTAGGCATTGACTCAGTCATATGGCATTACTTGGGGCCATTGATCAAATTGTCTCAATTCCAGGATCACTGAGTGTCAGTGTTTTGGGATGTAAGGACTTTATTAATAGTGTGCTGTCATGGTCTTTGTATCACCATGGCTCCTTTGAGTGTTTAATTAAATATGACCTTTTAATTGAAAGAAGATCTTTGTCTTCGTACATCTCAAAACTGGCAAAAGATACAGTTCTAAGAAGTGATTACATACTGAGGCCAAAATATTAGCTTAAGAAGGACTATTTTGCATTGTGAAAATAAAGTAGAAGGCCTTATAAGGGAGATGGTTCAGAACTCTATGCCACCCAGCATATGTAATATATACTGTATTCCCATATGGAGTTGGTAGATGATTCAACAATTGCTACTGATTAAAAAGGGCTGGGAACTGAAAGGTCATGCTGTTAGAATTTTAAGCTGCTTTTTTTTTTCTAGTCAGATCAGTAGTAATTGCACTGGTCTGACAAGATCTGTTGTAGATTTGTTTTAGGAATTAATCAGGAATTCCTATTCTAGTTGGCTGGTAGCAGCTAAGTGTGTCCCACAGGAATAATTCTGATGGTAACATCTAAGTTGGGAAAATGGCTTTACTAACAAAATATCCCCTAGATTTGACACCAAAGAAAAAAAAAACAAAAGAGAAAATATTGAATCCTAGTATTACTAGTACTAATAAAGGCATTGTTACACATCAATATAGTACCAAAATCATACACTACATTGATTTCATTGCAGGGAGCTTGTATCACCTATGTATGCTTTTAAGTTTAAAATTAAACTGTTTTTAAATGCAGAGGAGGAAATTTTTTAGTTCAAAATCCTACACTTAGCACCATGATGCATTGGATCAATTTTGTAATCAAAGAGCGATATTATACTGGCTTCAGTACACTCACCAAGAAAACCTCTGTGGCTTAACTCTTAGGTTTTTGTAATTTTCAGTTTGGAAATGGATCTTCCTAGCTCAACTTTTTAAGAGCTGTGTGGCTTGACACTGAACATTTCTGTAGTGGAGGATGAATTGACATATAAATTAAATCACTAATGATAAGTAAACAATTTAACATATGAATACATTAGTATATGTCAGATGAGAAAATATAAACGGAAAAGGCATCTTACAAATTTTAAAGGCACTTATCCAGTGGAAAAAATGTATATAAAAACATTATTACAGCCTAATAACATGAAGGAAGGAGGTTCAAAACTAGCTAGTCTGTCACAGTCCAATTTGAAAATCCATAAAGTAGTCTTATTTTTCACATATGGTTTGTGTTTCACATATGCTTTAGTGTATTAGAACTGCACAAGGGAAAAAGGAATTGAAATGCAAGTCCTCCATGTGTATGATCTACTGTGATTATATATAAAATGTATGCTTGCATATCAAAATCTGTTAGTTGTAATTTTCTTTCTGATTTTTGTTTAAATTTCCTTTTTTCTTTTTTTTCCCCTTGTTTTATTTTGGGGGTTTCGTTTGTTTGTTTGTTGGGGTTGTGTTGTTGTTGGGTTTGGAGTTGTTGGGGGGGGTTCATTTGTTTTAGTTTTTGCTTGCTTGTTCATTTGTTTTTATATTCTTTAAAATTGCTATAACAGATTCTTCAGTGTCTTTCTGCTACCTTTTTTTCTGGAACTGTGGACTAAAAGGTAGTCACAGTGGAATTGCACTTTGTAGATTCCACTGCTGCTATCAACTTGTTCATTCATCATGAACATCCTTTGGAGTTTGGATACATGAATAATATTTATTTAATAATATCGAATGACTATTGCCTGGCAATGTTTATATGTTGTCTAAGGCATTCAAGTGAATGTTTAACTTTGTTTATTATCATGCTTTTTGTCTGTCTGTGCTCACCTATTTATCATTATTTGTACTGACTTTGCAGTTAATCTCCTTGATAGTTTGGTCCTTTAATTTAAATTTCCTCTTTTCATCAGGATACAAATGTGCGTCTTCTAGACATCACTTATGTCTGAGAGAGATCTTTTAAAATTTGGTTAGCTAATTCAATTTGATTGAAGAAATGGAGTTGAACTTACTTTTCCATTGTCAAATATATCTCCTACGTGTTGCAGGAGCCACTTCATTGAACCATTCCACATGCTACAAAACCATGTGATTTAACTCTATTTTTTTCATGGTGTGTGCTTTTCTGTTTGGTGCCCCCTCTTCTCTTAGTCTGCTTCCTTCGATGAGCTTGAGACACATTTCCCTAGTGCCTTGTCTGTAACATTTCAAACTTCTTCATACCTCTCAGCCCTGCACTTCCAGACACATCTATGTACAAAACAGTTTCTCGGAAATACTGTAAGTGGAGGAACCATACTTCAATCAGAAAATCAGAAAAATTTAGTTGTACCTCCTCTGCCCATATTTGTGGTAGGGTATTTTTATTTTTATTAATGAAATTTTATTAAATACAGAAAACTGTGAAGTTGGGAAGTGGTAGGAAAACATAAAAAATCATGGAATCAGATGTGCTTTCTTTGAAATATGTCAGCAAATGCTCTCTAATGACTGCATTTTGAATACACTAGAGGTGGTACATTACTTTAACCAAAATGCCAACAAACAGGCTTCATAATTCTGCAGTCAGTTTCTCTGAGATGAAGGCATTCTGCAGGAAAAGAATTTTCAGGAGTTAATCAGCTACTGGTGAGATATAGCTTAATAAGATGAGCCCAACATAGGACGATCAAAAGAAAACCTTATTCTCTCATTTTAAACTCAGCCAAGGTGCCTGTGTTGACAATCACAGTTCTGCTTGAGTCATGGAAGTTGAGTATGCTAGGAGGATCTTCTGACAATGACTTACTGCTCTTGTTTCTCAGTCAACAATTTTTAAATAAAATTCTCCTCCTCAGCTTTTGACAAAATGCTTTTGTTGTAGTTGCATAAATATGAAACCAAAATAACTTCTGTTGTACAACTGATCATTTATACTAATGCTTAATGTTAATTCACAGAACCAGAGAACTTAAGGTATAGGAGAGGTTGAAGCACTGGTTCTTTGTTGTGCAGTTTGGTTTATGTTCGGCTGTGGAAAGTATTACTGAAGATTGATCACTTGTGTGGTGTTGGGGAACAAAAGCCAAAATCAGGTTTGGATTCCATTCAGCTTTCCTTGAGGTCAACAAAGTCTTTTCAGCAGGATGTTTCATGCTGTTTATTTTATTCTGCTTTGAAATAAACAGAGGAGAATGGCCTCATGCCTGCTGGATTTCTTCTTTCCCTTTAACTGCAACTACAAATTTTAGTCATATCTTCAGCAGCAGAAAGGGGATGTAAAATTGAAGCTTCTTTTAGAATCCCTGCTTCATACTTTGTTGGAGCCAGGGTTAAAGAATAATTGCCATGGTTCTGATCTGGCACCTCAGGTGGTGTGTATAAAACAGCTACTATCTGCAAAGAGAACTCTTGCAAAGGGACTGCCTGGCCTGGCCAGGCCATTGGTTGGGCCAGCTGCATAGAGAATGCAACTCTTCTATACAAGCCTTGAATACTGTGAACTTGTGTTTTCCGAGGTTATGCTGCATATCAACAATGGATTACCACTGCTGTGATGATTTAAATTGTTGAAATTATATTGGGAAGAATTGGTGGGCCGGGCAGTTTTGGATTACCCTGTCTTGGTGGGAACCAAAATTTCATGTTCTGAGTGAAGAGATATACCAGTGTTTCTGCATGCAGTGAGATATCAGTAAGCTTTAAAAAAATCTCTATTTGACTGCAGTAAAGAATGACATTTCTATTTTTATTTCAAGAACATTTCTGGTAGATACATCGGGAAAGGATTTTGATTGATTTTGTGGAATCTGCTTTGTCTTACTTCTGATGGCATTATGATTGTAGTTATTTTGCTAAAGACATATAAAAAATGTACTTACACTAAAGAATATTTTTGTTTTGTTGTATTGATTCATATTTTCTATTCTAAATAGCATGTTATTTAGTATTCCAACATGTATCCTGTTGAATGAATAACACAGAATGAAGATAATTCCTATCTAAAGGAGCTTAGTCTAAATTACACTGGTTTTTCCATATGATTTGTATTATAAGAAAATTTATGGTGGAATATTTTTTGCTTGTGTCTTCTAGACTCTAAGCAGAGAGTTACAGCGCAGCATACAGGAGCTGAGAACAAAAATCAGAAAGGCAAAAAAATTGGGCAAGATGAAAGCATCTAAAAACTGTCTTTCCCAAGAGTCTGTTCAGTTGGCAGCATCTATCCTTAATGTTTCAACAACTGATCTTGAGGAGATACTAGATGTAGAAGATGAAGAGGTAAGTTATTTTAAGGACGTCAGTAAAAAGGAGCTAGATGAGAAGATGCTGTATATTTCCATTCTTGGGGAAAAGGATTTCCAGGTAAAGACTGAAATTTCATTATGCAGCATCCATCACATAAATCGCAGAACGATTTAATTTAAATAATAAGGTCAGGTTAGAGACTCATAAGGTGGCAAGACTTCAGACATGCATAAATATAAACATACTGTTTTGAGCATGTGCATGTAGAGACAGTATTTTCCTTTTTCATGAGACTGTTTGGCAGGGCTTTACTTTATAAATAGGCTTCCACATTAATGAAAACAAAATTAGAATGTGTCTTGTTGTGACAGATTGATTTCATTGATGCTTCCTTTCTTGAATTGTGATACCTATTAAAGGTATTTCTGGTAGACAGATGGTTTCTGGGGGAATCCATTGCCTTTTTTTGTTGATTCTATCATACATTTTACTATGAAATATTTGAGAGTGTTTCATCAAATCACCCTCTATTAAATAGATACAGTAATAGGATTTCTTATCCATATTTATTTAGGATTGATCAAATAATACATGGAAAAGCCTGTACAGTTGCTTTAATAAGTGTCTAGGAGTTGACCATTATTGGCCTGTAACAGTACTCTGGTAATGACTTAGATTTAATCTTATTGGAGCTTTATATTAAAGAAGCCACAAAAGAGAGTTTTCACATTGGTTAAACAGCAGTGCATAGTATGTGTATGCACTGATGTGGATTACTTTCATGAATACAAATATAATGGACTGATCCCTGCCCTGTTTACTAACATTTATACAACCCTGTACAGTGATTCACTTTGACGGAATTGTTCCATACTTACCTCATTCTCAGAGTAATTTCTACATCCTTTATCTTTTGTTGTAGTCACCACTGTAAATACAAGTGTAAAACACATAAATATACTTAACTATAAATAGAAAACAAATTAAAAACACTGGTGATGAATTTACACTACTCATACACTACATATTCCGTTTATCAGTGCGTAGACTCAGGCACCTTTGTGCTGAACTCATAAAATTTAGACATAGATCACACATACACCTGTATATTCATATAAAGAGAACATGCCATGCGCATTTTTAGGGACATGCACAGACAAGGAGTTTATAAATTTAACAGAGCACTGATACTTTGTGGATATGATTCAGATAACTAATTTTGCAAGCATAGTTCCCACTTGCACATGCTTTTTATTTAATGTATATCCAATTACACATTTCCTGTATTGCTTGTTATGTTTCTATTTTTAGGAAACAGCAAAGACAAAATTGGAATTTGAAAAAGATAAAGAATGGCTGCAGCGTATACAGAAACTTATGGAAGCACAGGTGCTCAATTTATAACTTCCCTTATGAATTACAATTTTGTACTCTGAATAACTAAGTGTTTTTAGGTTGTAATTAATACATTGTATTTGTTATTAGGTTGTCATTGATGGTCCCAAATTATATTGTGATAAGGCAATGTGAAGTCATTGTTATGTAGCATTTTGGTTTTATTTCTTTTAAAGTAAGAGTCACTGCATAAATCTGAAGAGATGTTACTCTAGGATTTGTGATAACTAACTTAACAGCTGAAATCAGTGAAACAATGCTGAAGAAAACCAGCACAGATCTTGGAATATGTGTTAATTGAATTATTGAAACAGTGTATAATGCTTGCTAGAGTGAAAATGATCCATTCTCTCATGCCTCTTAGGAAAAAGAGACTTTTTTTTATGTGCCTTTAAAGTTACTAGTTGTTATGGACACCTGAGGAGTTCATGGGTTTCGGTGACCTTTTACTGCGGACCTGTTTCCAGTCAATTCATGTTTTCCTCATAGCCAGACAGCTGTTTATTATCGTGTCTTCTCGCATTCTCTACAATATTTTCTACTGAGACCTCGAGCAGCTTGTTAGTGGGAAGTAAATATTGATTTGGCATCCTGTCAATGCAGAAAGAATGAAAAAATTTCCACCAGAGGCCCCTCAAACATTTTCCTATCGACATTTTCTGGGCAGAGAGGAAAGCTGCATGGAGGATGACAAGTCTGAGACTAGTAGAAATCCCTGAGGGGTCCATTGAGACTGCCGCTGTGACCTGTGTGATACTTTTTCTTCTCTTTCAAGTCTTTTTTTTTAATACACACAGAGTCTGCTGGGATGCTCCCCTCTTGTAAGTGATCAAGGGCAGTTTATTGGCAGGTGAGAGCCCAGCTTTTGTAGCCATAGTCAGCTTTTGTTTGGACATCACTGACAACACACACTGGCTCTTGAAACTTTTCCATTATATTTTTAGTTGTCCCTTTTATTTAGATGATGGGTAGCTGATGTCTGGAAGGAAGTAAAATTTGATTTATAAATAAGGTGTTCCTAATGCATATTCACTAGCATGGGTCCATTAGTGATGTAGTTAATAACAGTTAAGAATGCGAATGATGGAAAATATTTTGAAAGCCGTTTCAAGGGAACATTCACATCGGATTTATACATTTTATCATTAACAGCTTTTGTGTCTAGATTGTATCTTGTGACCAGATTTTTAAGAAATGACAGATTTTCCCTCTTTCATTATCAAAACTTAGTACCATTAAGACTGTGTAATTGCTGCAGCAGAGGAGATGGAAATATCAATGTAGTTTTACTGGCTTTGTCAGAAATACTGGCATTTTAATTGAACTTCATGAAACTCAGCAGTAAAAACATAATTATTTATATTCATTTAATTGCCTTAATTTTAAGAATTTTTTTCAAAATCTATACATTTCAAGATTTTCTACATATTATGAGCTCTAAAGCAGGAATCAGATTCATGGAATACAATGAAGACTTCTTCCTCTGTCTTTTGTTATCATTCTTTGGTAAATTGCTAAAAACTTTTAAGCAGAATTTTATCACTTCTCTTCATCTGCTATAGACAGACGGCAAGAACCAGAGCATGGAGAATGAAGGAATTGTTGACTATGAAACCAGCTGTATTAGGATTGGAAATGTCAGCTAGGGATAGAAGAGCTCATTGCTCTTAGCTTTGTAAGTTTGTGTACGAGTAATAGTGATTTTCAGTGATTTTTGCTCCATCTTGTGGGGTTCCTCAGGAGGAACACTGAGGGTAAAAGCAATTTTGTGGTAAGCAGCCCAGTTTTAGAATTGTGAGAGGATTATAGTGCTTTTTAGGAGCAGTCAGCTATGCTTTTAATTTCTGTACATGTTAAGGCAATGGATGGAAATTGTTAAGATTTATTCCGCTGTATTTGGGAGCAGCTGATGGAAGAGCTCTGTGCCCTTTGAAATGCCTTACCTGTATCTTGTAGAGCTCGGTTGTGGTTTCTTTTAGTAAGCTTTGGTAATATTTCTGATCAGAAAACTAAAGATCCTGCTGAAATGTAAGCTTTCTGTCAGACTTTGCTCATAACAGACTGGCTACTTAGTGTTACATGTTGGCAAACTGTGTACCTATTTGCAATCTTGAACAAAAATGCAGGATTGCCCTTTTCTATTTTTACAAGTAAAGCTTCTGTTGAAAAGTGCTTCAGATCTCTTAACATTGCAGTTTGATATAGTGTCTATTTGTGCCATTGAGCCAGGACTTTGGAACATAATTGCCCAGCAGTATTGATTTAATTGCCTAGGTTTATTTGTGGACTCCTAATTATTGACTGGAGGTAAATTTAATGGAGAAACTTTTATGAACACTGGGAAACTGCTGCTGTTGCTGTTATACATAATGAACTGCATGATATCCCTTTAGATCATTCTTCAAACTACTTTTATTCCACTGTGACAGTACGATAACATTTAAAATGTCATAGACATTTTATTTTTATTACTGACATACGCCATTTTACAGCTGCATTAGAATTTTGGGGGGGATTGAGGGAAGCACTAGTTGCTTTTTACTGTCATTTTATAGATTCCCCTAAAGTGTAACGATAACCTCTATTTTCACTTCATCTGTACCTTTATTTTCCATACCCTTATAACTTGAAAATGTCTAATATCAGGCAGCTTTACAAGAATATTAATATTTTAGTGATAAATATTTCTGCTTTTCTGACACTCACAGGCACCAGTCAGAGTTTGTGTCCCTATTTTATCAACTACTGTAGAAACACATGTCAAGAAATTACACCACTGCTAAGAAGTTTATGATTTGAGACATCTCTACTTTAGGATATTATTATGTAAATATGAATCATATTGTATGAAAGTATATTCATATGTTATGAATTTGACAGAGCTGGGGAAAATCACTTACTGTCTAAATCTACATTTGAATGACCAACAAGTGCTTTTTTCTGTTGCGTTTCTGTATTTGTACTGTAACACCCTAGAGTGTTTTCACTAAAGAATAAAAATAAATCATCTTAATAGTTGACATAAGAATAAAAAGAAAAAGGTTCTCTTACCTATGAAGAACCTGGATGTGGAGAGGCTTCACATGAGAGCATGCAGATATCTGCTACCTGAATATAGTTAGAGGCATCAGACTGATTATGCGTTAGTGGTTGAGCTCAGGAGAAGTTGGGAGAGGTATCACAATATAAACTTGTGAGCTTTCAATGGTTTATGGTATCTGGGAGGGAAAAAGTATGGTTATATCAATATGTTTGTGTTTACTGCTTGCAAGGCAAGTGATGAGGCTTTTACCCACTTTATCCCTTACATCTGGGTGTGTATGTCTTATTAATTGAACCTAGCGCTCTCTTTTTTTTTTTTTTTTTTTTTTAAACACACAACTCAAAAAAACGAAACAAAACGCCAATCATCTCTAGTTCCTCATCACAGGAAATTTACATAGCTAAAGCAAGAGGATGACTTTTTTTTCATGTTACCTAAACATGATTTCTTATACCACCCTCAGCTTTCATTCATTGTAACTGATTGTAAGGACACCATCTCAGAATAATTTATTAAAAATTTTGTATGTGAGTACAGCATGTTAGTCCAATCCAGATTACTGCCTGAAGTCTCCAAGATCTGCTTTTTAATAAAATGCAAATCATCTATCTAACTTTTCCAAGCAGTGAAGCAAATGACAGCATTGATTAAGCACGTCCCTATGAGATCTACAGCAACACTTGCCTTCCCTCCCTCCTCATGTACTCCTTGGGATATCACATAAACAAAGCTGCCTAATAAAATCTCTACTCTTATGACTTCATTATGAATTTAAATATCATATTCCAATGGTGAAAACTTCCACAAAGGCTGTTTTCCCTCTGTTCTGTGGGCACTCTGTAAGTATGTATATAACCTCTTTCAAGAACAGGGTTTGGAACAGTATATTCACTAATCATCAGTAGGGATTTTCCCCAGCCCCTTTTTAAGATTTTCACTGACTTCCCAATACAGATTTGTACTGCTGTCATCTAGGAATGGACACTAACAGCTGTGGTTGTTTCCTTTCAAATTCTTCAAGTTGGAACTCACCTGCTTTGCTTTCATTAGACTCTCTCCTGTCTGTGTCTGTCTTTTCTTTAAACAGGTTCTCTGCTCCCTGCCTGTCCTGTGATCACACCCACATACTGACCCATGCACAAGCTGCTGCACACACTCACCACTGCAGCTCATCACCAGGTGTTTCAAGTACCTGCGCCTTAAAAAGCAGCACCAGCGTAGTCTGAACCATATTGTGGGCACCATTACATTGATATCAGACCATCAGAAAGTAACCGTGATTTTGTTCTCACTACGAGACTTAAGAGCTTAGTCCTGTGCATTGACAATGCACTACAGTACAGATCTGTGTTTAATCTCATGGACACAAACAAAACCATGTTACATTACTTGTTCTGAAGTGAAAAAAAGGAGAAATTGGCTTGATTACTCAGAGTAAGACTATAGACAGGCCCATACATATTTATATAATCGTGTATATACAGCTGTCACAAAGCAGAATAAGAACAAAGAAGACAAGAACAACAATAAAGTGAAGCATTTCTCTAATTTTTAATTTTTTTTAACTTCGACCTTTATTTGATGGTGAAATTAGGAGGCTTTTGTTATTGATCTGAGTTTCTAGTTTTATTTCAGATTATTTTTTTGTGGTTCACTTAATTCAATTTAAAGCAGCTCTTCAGTGTGTTTGAATAGTTTTCTTGGGCAAATGTATTATATCAAAGATCCATCTGGGGATATTTAAAATAGTGGTAGCCACTAATTTATGTACTCTTAAATTTAAATACCTTTATTTTTATAATAACACATTTTAGTCTTTGTAAAGCAGAAGACAAGTAATGCTACACTCTGCGAATGGAGACACTGTGTCTCATTAGAACAACAACATTGCTTTGCATTCATTATAAGTCTTTTCACGGGCAAGTCTGTGTATATTTATACATTTGTGTTGAGGGAGACTCAGTCATGTGGTGTAAGGTCGGTAAGTATTACTAGTTTGTTTTTCCCAGAAGGGATCTCCAAAAGAAGCAAACTTAAGGTCAGAATAAATAGGTGAGAGAAACCATTAATGCTTAGTGTTCAGTTAAATGGATTGTGGCACAGATAACTGTAAAGCTTTTGAAGGAAGTACCATTGTGTATTAAAATATCTAACTATCATGGTATAAACAAGTTTTTAATCTTTAGATGTACACTTAGCACTCACTGAACTTCCAAAGCCTTTCCCAAGCATGTGGCAGGTTTGGAAGCTGGGATGAAAACTTCAGAGTAGAGACATCTTCAGTAGTTGTGAAGTTCTGGAGAAAAATGTAAAGGAAAGTTTCCCAGTATAGTTACAGAACCATCGTTAAAAGTAAATCTTACAGGCTTCTATTAAAGATGAAGACTGTAGAGGTCATCCAGTTCTCAATGTCTGTATGGAAAGAAAACCAGATAGAAACATACAGCATTTTCTCTGAAAACAACAAATGTTGAAAGAATGACATAGTGTTCCACTTTCAAATGCTCTTGATTTAAATTAATCATTTAAATGGAAAGGTTTCTTGAAATATCACTTTGCTATGACATGGAAGCCACAGAGAGAAGTGAGTAGCAAGTAAAATGTAGCTAGAATTATATGAGCCAGGGACATCAATAAGAAACCATTCATCTCAGGCACAACATTAAGGAGGTGAAATCTATCAGAAATGAATGAAGTCAAGCTAGGCAAGAAGAATTAGAGACTTTGAGGTAATGATATAGTGTTCTCGTAAAAAACATATTTAGACAGAGAGAGAGCAATTAGAGTGAACAGGATGCTGCAGTCTGTGTTTTTAAAGCATAGTAGCAAGTGAGTCTCACAGAATGTCAGGTAAGATTATGTCTTATATTACACTGAATAGATTTGTGCTCAGTGAATTCGATCCCTCTATTCCCCAAAAAGTAATCACAATAGCACACAGGAGAAAGCTGACAGGTGTAGATGACTACTAGAAAATTCTTACCATAGGCATAAGTTATTTATGACAGACAGAGACATGTCTGGCCAGAAGTACCAGCCCTTTAAAACTCTCTTTCCCAGAGAAAAGAGAAATAATGTGTATTATTGTCCTTTTTCTGTAACTACAAAGTAACTGCTCAGCAACATGTAGGATTGCCATTGTAGACACTCCACAATGGATGATTGCTATTAATAAAATTTTCCTTGCTACCATTTTAGACTTTTTCTTCTGACTTTTTTTTTTCTAATTTAGTAATTAAAAATATCAGTATATAGAGTCATATATCTATATCAGTTTACATATTACATCAACATTTGTATTTTATGTTGTTTTGTGTCTGGGGTTTTATTTTTTCTTTTATAGTTTTTGTTTCTTATATCTAGGAAACAGACAGTACTCTGTCTGGTGTAGGTACTATACAATTTTCTCTTTAAAATGGAATAGAGAAGTGAAAAATTAAAATTAGAGCAGCAACACTGAAGTATGGAATTAGACAGGAGTTCTAGATGAAAAAGTGTTGCATTCAACTACACTTGTAAAAAGCTCAAGCTAGTGATTGGCTTGTTTACCAAATGTTATATTTTACCTAATTTTTTTCTGGTGGCCTTATTAAGGTAAAATTTTCTCTCCTTCTGATATGAGAAAAAGCTGTTACTTCTCCTGTGGGATTGATCCTTCAGTCACCACTGGTCTCACCAGGAGTTCAAGGAAGCTGACAGAGCTCTGTGAAGCTGATGGAGACTTTTCAACAGCGAACGAAAACTGCCCTGCTCTCCTCTGTGGCACAGCACTGGCCACTCTTCGAGTGGAGCTGCCAGTGTTCTGTACCACCTTTAAAAATACTTCCCAGCAAACAGTGAATTGATGTATCAAGACTGTGAAAGAAAACCTCTTTAGGCATTAAGGAGATGACACTGAAAAATATACCAAATATCTTTCTTCTGAGGCAATGGTTGTGCAAATACATCTCCTATACAGAGGAGTTATGAAAGAGGTTTTCATTTTTCTCTGTAGATATCACAGAATCACAGAATATGCTGAGTTGGAAGGGACCTACAAGGATCATCAAGTCAAAGCCTTAGCCCTACATAGGACCATGCCCAAGAGTCACACCATGTGCCTGGGAGTATCACCTAAACACTTCTTGAACTCTGTCTGACCACTTCCCTGGGGAGCTTATTTCAGTACCCAACCACCCTCTGGGTGAAGAACCTTTTCTTAATATCCAAACTAAACCTCTCCTGACACAACTTCAGGCCATTCCCTTGGGTCTTGTCACTGGTCACCTCAGAGAAGAGATCAGAGCCTACCCCTTCTCTTCCCCTCATGAAGAAGCTGTGACTGCAGTGAGGGCTCCCCTCAGTCTCCTCCAGGATACAATTTTTTAGTATCACCAAAAAATTTAGAGAGGCAGACATTTGTGGCATATTCTAATTAATGCAATTGGAGGCTTGAGGTTTTATTTTGCTTTGAGTGGTTTTTTGTGGTTTTGGTTTTTGTGGGGATTTTTTGGTTGTTTTTTTTATTATTATTATTATGATGATTAATTTTTTTATTTTGGTGTTTTGTGGTGGTGGTGATTTGGACTTTGGGTTTTTGTTTTGTTTTTTATTATTTACAAGTTTTCATGTGGGAGTCAAAGGCAATTGCCACAGCACTGAGAATTATACTGGTAGTTCTGTCTCATCCTCCTGAGAGTAGTGAACATACACTCATACACTACCATTTCTGCATGCCCTAGAGGTGACTGTAACCTTCTATTGATCAGCTGATTGAAGATAAATGACAGAGATGCTGGTACTGCAGTTTACATCATTAACATGGTCAGTAAAGCATGAATTGTTCAATAAGGAGTTTATCTTTTTTCATTGTACTCTGCTCTTATATAATTTTTATGATAGAGAGCAAATTTTCACACACTAACTGGGCAGATGAACTTTAAAGATCAGATATGTCTGTGTGTGGTAATTGTCAGAACTAAGTGGAATCTGAGAGTTTAAAGATATTTAATAAATGTCTTTCACATGAAGAAAATGAAATCCAATGATAATTTTTCTTATTGTGTTTCTTTTTCAGTTTCCTTTTGCCTCACACTTAATGGATGTCGTACTGGAAAAATTAAATGAGAAGAAGAAACTGTTAGAAGAGTACAGTTCTCTCATGAAGCACACTATATGATGTTGCTAAGACCTATCTTTGCAAAGTGTGTTTTACCTCTTCACGTAAAGAACTGTCAATATGCATGTTCAATACCTACATAGAACCCATGAACTAATTAATTGTTGAACAAGAGGAATTAATTAACTTCCTATTAGGAAGCAGTGTGGTATTTGATTCCTGAAGACAGAAATTGCTTCAACTCAATGCAAAGTTCAAAATTATTTTTCTTTAAATGCATTGGCAGTGAACACTAGTGCAGGCTTTGTAGAGAGAAGATGTCTTTGTTATGACTAATACACGTCTGTACAATTTTGAAAGCACAAAAAGCAGCTAAGTAACACCTGGTTGTACTAATCAGAACAGTAGAAGTAGGATTTACAGAGGAACTGGGAATATCACTGGGATTTTGGTTACCTAATTTCTTTTAGCTTCTTTGCAAAGCCCAACCTTATGATATGGTCTACATAAAAAGATATGCCTTTTTATGTTGGAAAAAATGAATGATTGTAGAATGAAAATATTCTGTGTGAATATTTCCTGTGAAATATTCACAGGAAAACTATTTCCTTCTGAGTATATTGGAGTATAATGTGTGCAATATATTTAAAAAAAATTAAATACAATGAATTTTTTTCTATTGTAGGGGTTTTTTTTTCACTAGTAGACCCAGTTCTTTTTGAGCTGACACCTAGCTGCAAGCTATCACTTGCCTTGGGAAACTGGTATACAGTTTTAGTCAATTATTTTCGCCATGATTTCTCTGGCATTGCTAACAACTAATTGCTGCTGCTTCACATCTTTGATCTTAGGGTTTATATTCCTCTGGACCAACCCACCTGAAAAAAAAAGACACAAGTTTCTGGATGTAATAACATTTAGCTCTTATATATTGCTCTTCATCTGTAGTTATCAATTAGCTTTACAAAAGGTATCATTATTCATATTGGATATTGGGTGAGGAATCAGAAGCAAGATCTATTTGCCCTAAGATCACTCAACTAAAGCAAAAAACATAAAGCATGAAAGTTTTCTGCACATCAGTCCAATGCTTTTCCTAGGATGTCATAATGTATCTTCTAATTTATGGAGTTCACTATTTGGTGTCTCTAAGAAAAGGAAGACATCACTAAACTTCTGCTCAGTTGCACATGGTGACAACAACAGGGATTTTTGCTAGAATCAGAGAAAATCATGCGAACATATTTCACCTGCACATGTAAATAAAATCCAGGAATTGGGCCTTTATTAAAAAAGGAAAAGACCTTAGGAATGATTGACCACCACCTTTTTCAGTGCAAGAAATCAGGGGCATCGTATGAAACTTTAAAGTGATATATTCAAAGTAAGCAAAAGGAAGCCAGTCTCATGCAAATGAAAATGAGCTGTGGAACTATTTGCCTCAGGGTTTTACTGAACCTAAAAATTTTCATGGGCTCCAATGCCATTGCAATATTGCCGACAAAAATTATGAACAATAAATCTGTCAACAAGTGGAAACCATGTTCATGCGTTTTTCAGTAACTCCAGCAAAATGTTTGAAAATAATTTCAACGTAACATCTATTGCAGCATGGTGAGAAGAACTTCATGAGGCCAAAGCTCTGTGAAAATTACCCTCATTGTCTTCGTTTCCATGTTCCTGAACACCTGCTAGTGCAAGTCTGATCTTGATAAATACAAATGAAAATTGAAATATCAACATTTTTTCAGTGAAAAAAATCCCAAACATATAGTTTGAGTCTTTCACAAGTGTTGAATTCTGTCTGCAATGAACATACTTGTTTTTACTGCTCATTTGATCTTTACTCCACCAGCAGAAGAGATGGTCTCTCAAAAATCTTTATTTCTGTAAAAGGAATAAAGTTAATTATTTTGATTATGTTTTATGAATATTTTAAAAATCCTCTTACACTAGCACCGGGCTCATTACACATGCATGTTACAAATTTTGTGATTCTGGTTCAGGGAGAAGCATTAGCTCAACGCTTTCAAGATGATATTGCCAACATGAAATATAATAAAGACAGTGCTGTTTTGAACTAATTGTACCTACGAACATCCAGAAAAGCCACTTAGTCCGTTTTTCTTTTATTAAGGTAGTTTTTCTATGCTGGTGCTTCCTGATAAGGCCTCTAGGTGGCAAACTTTCACCAAAAATGGGCTCAGTGTGACAGCCGTGAGCGACCTGTGCGGGATCTGCGCGGCCGGGACGGAATCTTTGATTCCTGCAGCCCCTGAAGTGCTGAATGGGACAGACCTGTCCATCGGGCAGCGATAGCTGATCTCTGTGCTTGTAAATAAAGTGGCTGATTACAGCCATTACCGTACAGTACAGTGACTCAAGGGTGAGACTCTGAAATAGAACAACCGCCTTTATATATGTATATATATGGGTGCGTGTGTGTGTATGTATAAAAGCTGTTCTATACACATACACACGTATGTGTGTATGCTCGCATGCATACATGACTATGCATACATAGACATGAAATACACAGTGTTGTATAGAGCTTCAAAGTTGTTTAAATGTTCTGACCCTCTCAGAAGAGTCTCTGAGGCTCAGGCAGCTGTGAGCAAGGAAGTCCAGGGCATGAGAGCTGGCTGTACAAGGCAGGGATTCCTGAGTCCAAGAGCATGCAAGCAGCAGCCACATAAGCTGAACGGCTCCAGCAGCCGTGGGGAGAGGAGGGGACAGTGCTAGGAGCAACCAAGGAGAATTTAAATGGCTCTAGGGATCGGGACCAACCCAGAGCACTGCAAAGAGGAGTGGGTAAACATGATACAGCAGGGAGGGTGTCATGGCAGTGAAGGTGTCAACAAACAGTTATTTTGCAAAAAGTGCGCTGTGGTTGAAGAGCTATGTCACCAGGTGAAGGAGCTACAGGAACAAGTGAGCAGGCTGTGTAGTATTTGAGCAAACGAGCAAGAGAGAAACTGATTTTATTCAGAGATGCTACAGCCTCAAGACTGAGGAGTCTTGAACCTCAGCTGTAGTGGACTTGGAAGCCTACAGGGTAATTAGTCAGTGGACTGTTGGTCAAGAGTCTGTTAAAGATGAGGGATGGAAGCACATGGTCACAGCACATACCAGGAGGAAGGTTCCTCCTCCTCGGAATCTGACAGGTGGGACTGGTGTCTTCTACAGCTGGTATGATGCTCTGTCACTAGAAGGCCAAACAGCTGGTAAGGTGGGCAAAGGTCCTTCTGGGATAGAGGGGCTTCCTGAAACCACTAGCTGTATCCTGCATCAAGACCTTCTCTGTCAAGAGGAGAAGAAGAATGGTTGTTGTAGGAGACTCCCTACTAAGGGGAACAGAGGGCCTCATATGCAGACCAGACCCAACTCACAGGGAAGTCTACTGTCTCCCAGGGGCTCAGGGAAGGGACATTACTGGAAAACTCTCCAGTCCAGTAAGGCCCTCTGATTACTATCAGCTATTGGTTGTTTAAACTGACAGTGACAAAATAACAAAGAGAAGCCCAAGGGCAATCAAAAGAGACTTCAGGGCCCTGGGACAATTGGTAGAGGAAATCAGGAGCACAGGCAATGATTTCCTAGATTCTTCCAATAACAAGGAATAATACTGATACAAATAGGCAGATCCATCAGGTCAGTGAGTGGCTCTGAGGTTGGTGTAATTGGAAAGTTTCGGGTTTGTTGCCAATAGGATGATCTACTCAACACCTGGTCTACTGACACCTCATAGGATGCACCTATCTCAGAGGGGAAACAGTTCCAGCACAGGAGCTAGCGAGGCTTGTTGACAGAGCTTTAAACTAAATTGGGAAGGGAAAAGGGACAAAAC